GACTAATTGAGGTAAATAGAGAACAATATATTTTTTCTCTTCCCGATGAAATATTCTCCAGCCAACTTTTGATATTAAATGCTGGTATGTTATTGCCTTTTTCTCTGATCCAGCATGTCCACGAATCGACTCCCGCTTGGGGCTCAGATGAAGGGTGACTTCAAAGTGGGAACTGCGTTCCCGTCTTGTCTGTTCGAAACGGATGCCCATTCACTTCTTCATTTGTTCACCTGCTTCCATGTCCATGCACGGCGAGGGGCTCATTTTAATGCTTCATCTACTTTCCACTTTTCAGGTTCAGCTCGAAACGCTGAGATGGTCTCGACATGTCTGGACGGCCTGTTCGCGTTGACCCTGTCTTCTGGCCGGTGCCTCCATTCGGCCGCTTTCCGACTCCTCCACTGTTTTCTCGACACTTCATCCTCGCCAGCCACAGCCACAGCCAAGCATCCACGAGCACTGGCCGGCCCGATCGACTCGGTCAGCTCGAGAGCCTCGCTGGCGTCGGACGATGAGGCGGTGGTCGAGCTCAGGACAAGTCTTTTCGAGGGCCTTGATCAAGCGCTTCAAGTCTCCGTCCAGCCGAGCCTTCAGGTCAGTGCTCTCTGCTTAAGATCTCCCGCTCCGGACACTGATCCGGACGACCTTTGCTTCGAGCCCATTCGATCAGGCCTGCCTGGCACGGAGGAGCACATCGCATTCGGCCTCCTGTCGACTCTCAATCAAGGCGTAGTCCACAAGCCGAAAATTGTCATCTAAAGATCGCTTGAGTTGGCCAGAAATTTGATAACCAGACTCTAATTTTGGTCTGTATCAGAAAATGCAACCCCTGAACTCGACACTGTTGTTGTGGTTTCGTCCCGAGGACGATCAAACTATATTATGTCGGGATATAAGCTAAAGGATTATTTTTAGTTTATAAGTAGGCTTTCGTGATATTAGATGTATTCATTCATTGATACATCGCATATCTATGATCTACTAGGGGTCTCGAAAGCCTTCTTTGAAACGAGAACTAAGTAATGTGGTTGATTATTATGGCGGATATAAGTTTGCTTCATCGATAATCACAACACAGAATGTGATATGGTAAAGTGCCTGAACTTTCTTGAAATTCACATCTGCTTCTTGACCCAACAGAACTCGTGGAAATGTGGCATTGTGTCGAGATTATACGCTACACTGTCATGGTTCGACTTTCGTTGGGGGTATTGAAAAGACGAAGGCGAGGTCGAAACGCCATTCCACTCCAGCCTGGATGAGAATAGCTTGTAGAAAATAGAGGCAAAGTGAAATCCAGTGGAGACGTAAGGTCTAATCTTGTAAATGTGGACAATTCAACTACCATCCTTTTATCATTTCTAGCGAAATGGGATTAACATATCTCATAACAAGCTCTCCGGTCTCAGCGAATTTAAACAACACTTCTAGCCATCATAGTTCTCAAAGTGAGCAAGGTCGAATGATTGAGTTGTCGCGCAACCACAATGAATCGAAAAAGGCATTATTGTCCAAGGTGGGCTACTGTTTTAACTCGAACTCTTACTCAAAATCTTCTGATCGTCTCGAAATCTACTTAGTGTCGCTTTGTTGTCGTGTGGCGGAATGCCACCGTTTTGTCATTTGCAGAGTAGGATCCAGACGAGGAGAAGATGTTGAAGCTGCAGTTCATTCTAACCTGGATGAGAACAACTTTTAGAAGACTGGACCGAATAAACTTCAATATGAGATGTATTCACTCAATTTCGTTTAAGGTGATGAAGGACTGGTAGAAGAGGAATTCACTCACAATAAAATGAGTTGAGCTGACGTTTCCATTCAATTTCACAGAGCCTTGCTTTCCCAAAAGTTGTTCTCATCCAAGT